GGTCTGAATTTGTGCACATGTGAAAGAAAAAGCTGATTTTATTAGATAGCCACGACAGTGCAATCTCTCTCATCCAGCTGAACGGCTTCTGCGTCGACTGCGTTCTCTCTCTAGCAGTCCACAACGTGCGCATGCGGGTCGCCTCGTCAAATTTATCCAGCCATGCCTTCAAAGTATCAAATCGCAACAGCGTAGCGATGCAGCGCCCTCCTGTCGCAAACTCTCTGCCCTCACGTGTCACCTGAGTGGTCACATTTGTGGCGCAAAAGTACTGCTCGTCGGAAATCGTATTAGGTGAGGGCTAATTTCCAGGCTCTAGAGTGGTGCGTACATGCGGCGCAGCTGTCTCCGGGTGATGAAAAATCAGAAGAAGAAAAGCAGTGGCGGCAGGATTTTCTCACTTTATCCGATAATAACGAGCTCTTCGAGATCGTACAGGTTAATATGTTTATCATAATTGAACAGCGCTGAGATATGGTGAAATTTAAAGGGTTAGTGATTAATCCACTCTCAGAGGCTGATTCTCAGCCCAGTGTTTCCAAGGTTTCGGTTGATATTTTGTTGGAGAGAACGTATAACAATTAAACCCATGAAAAAAAGGAAATTTTTTTTAAAACAATCTGATTTTCTTTTTTTTTGTTTGCTTTACACAATGACTTAAACAAAACAAAAAGACAAGCTCTACAAACTGCTCACGTACGTTATGGACAGTAGAACCCCGGTAAAACTGTCGCGTGTTTGGTGCGATGCAAAAGAAGTGGTGGATGAACTGTATCGGGGACAAATCCGGGGCAAGCACATGTAAATGAAGTGTGCTTGAATGATTTTTGTGGAAGGCCAGCTGAAAACGACCCGTTTCTAGGCAGCGAATTATCTGGATATAAGCGAACTGCTGGCAGAGGGCTGCAAAGCAATTGCGAACCAGATAAAAGGGAAGAGTGTGCAGGAGCTGCGCGAATTCTTCAACATCGAGAACGACTTCACACCGGAGGAGGAGGCTCGCGTATGTTGGCGTATGTTGATCATTTCCTCCTCGCCCCCTTCCTCTCTCAACTCGGCAATTTCGGGCTGAGAAAATGCGGCATGGAGTTTTCTCTCTACCGTATCTATCACAACTTATTTTCCTCCCC